ATGTGTATATGGAGAACATGGTGGTTTTATCTTATTCTTCATCTAGGACACAGCATGATGGATACCCTTGCTGTGGCCTTACGTGTTGCAGAGGAAGCAGTGGAAGAAGCTATTTCTAAGGCAGAGACCTACAGTGACAGCCTGGTAACACTTTCAACAACAACAACAAAAAAAATAATTAATTTAACTAGAACAATCATGTTTCTTTTAATCTGAGTAGTGGTACAAACCAAGTAGATGAAAACATGATGAAGTAGTGACTATCTCATGATATATCTAAAGAGTTGGGCATGGTTTTTATGAACTGGTATCGAAGATGCATATTTGCATTTCAGAAGGTGACGTGCACTTTAAATGTCTGTAATTTCTTCCCACAGTGCCAATTGGGCATATTACCCATTTCCCAATCTATACATTTTCTGTGGGAAGGCTGTTTTTATGTGAGTCTAGCAAATACAGATATCCCTTTTCATGCAGGACAAGCAGAATGAAGCTTGTTACTTGCAGGAGCACAAGGAGGACCTCATAGAAGAGCTGGCCACAACCATTGTGCAGAAGGTATGGTTTTTCCCCCTATGTTTAATAGCCAGAAGACAGTGGTTTAGAGCTCAAACACTGCTAACAACAAAAATATGACACCAATGTAGAAAGCAAAGTAAATGAACTATGACAGTGTAGGCTTCATCAGCTATGTCTGACAGAGATCAGTTTATAAGATCAACCCAATGCCTACCCTGATGTCCTACATGTTCAGAGCTGGGAGGTACCACTCCCTGAGGTTTGTGATGTCCTTTCTTGTAAGGGAATGTCCTTGCTTGATGGAATTTTACATCTGTGTTTCACTTCCCCACAGGCATAAAGTTTCCTAATGTCAAGAGGTATGGCTCTCAACCATACACATCACTTCCCAAAAGATAAACTTTGCCAGTGTAAAGAAGTATGACTTCTGACCATACCCTCTACTGAGCCCTCCATCTGCAACATGTTCAAAGAAAACAATATCAATCAATAACACAGAATTCTCTTAATGAAGCTGTTAGTGTTAACAGCTGTTAGCTGTTAATGAAGTGAGAGACACTCAAAAAAATCACAGAACACTTGGCATGTCTGAATTCTGTGGCTTCTTACATAAAGCTCATTCTTCTCGTTGCAAAGCTCATGGTTGGCAGAATGAAAGTGGAGGGCTAGTGGGAAAAAATACCCTTTGAATTTGTCTGGACAGTTTGGAGTAAGGCAAGATGAGTATGAAGAGTGCACTGTTAAGATCCTGCGGTCAATAAAGTAACCACTCTGCTAAGTTAGTCTCCTTCCATGTGAAATAAGCTAGGTGCCACATCTTTGCATAGGCTGTGGCATTTAGCAGTGTATGGATCACACAGCAGAGGAGGAACATGTTGCTCATAAGGCTATGAAGACAAGCCAGAAAAGCAGCAGATCACTGGAAAATAATCTGCCTTCTTTTTTAATGGTGATGTTAGACTATAAAGTCTGTTTATCAGGTCTTTCATAGTCCAGAGCCTCTCTCAGCCAAGCCTGAATTGCTGCTTTTGTCAAGAGCTGCCTAACGAAATCTTTTATGCCATAGAATAACGTTCTGTAGGTATTTTATATTTCAGTTGTGGAAATGAAATGTAGCAGGATATAATCTGTCAGTGTAGGGAGACATGAGCTCTCTCAAGATGGTGAAGATTTTCAAAAATAAAAATAGTGCCTAGAGACCTTAGACCTCATTGTTCTCACTAGAATGTCTGCATGTCGTGGGAGCCTTTGAAATTCCCCTTCTATCTAGTATTTTATGTCTCTTGGCAAAAAGTCGTGTCTGAGAAAATACTTGACACTTAGATGCTGCTGAAGTGTTACTGTAGCAACAGGTTTCTATGTTTATGTAATTCACCTCTGGTATTCCTACAGGCACTGTTATATATTGCATCGATGCTTATGTGCTTGCAAGAGGTAGGACTTCAGATGAGAAGTAATTACATGAGCTGGAGCTAGAGCAAAGGGAAAGTCCAATGTTTTTTCCTGGGGAGCTTGCCTCGAGACGGGGTTCACCTAGATCTCCTCCATATGGCTCAGACAGTATTTCCCGAGCAGCATTTTTCTGTCCTCTCCCACCCCGTTTCTCCCCTCCCCTGCAGATTATAAAGAAGCAGAAAAGCAAACCCGAGCAGGCCGAGGCCGACTTGGAATGGCCTCCGTCGCGGAGCAGTGGCCTGGCGTCCGGCGCTGTCTCGGACCAGAGCATGCTGACATTCCCAGGGAGCCGCAGGGGGTCCTACACCTTGTGGGTGAGTGCCACAGCACAATCATCCGTGTTTTCTGCTGCACAGAAGCAGCAGCTTGCAGTCATGGATAAGTGTACTCGCTGCCTGGATTGGTACGTAGAGACTTGCAGAGAAGGAGCATTAATTCTGTGTCTGAACAAGCTGTCACTCAGTTGCATGCTTTCCTAACATCCCATGGGCCATGGAGGCACATCACAGACATGGTGTTCTTTCGGTTGACTGTGTCGGGGAGGACTAAGTTTGTGATAGGAGCAGTCTCACTGCTTGATTTGAATGCTAACAGGACTCAATGCCTTATGTGTTAGTGTTTATTCCTCAGAACTGTTTTTCTGCTCACTTACCTTTAATGTAGGTCTT